TCGAAAAAGAGGTTCTTTTCTGGTAAGAAGGGGGATGACTGACAAAGCAAAAATCCGCGTGAGACGGTTCGCAAGCGTGAGAGAAATTACCAATTAACCTTCCGTGACGGACAATTAAAGACTGCGTCTCTTATATGTACACACAAGCTGGATAAACTGGATTCGCTTGCCTGGAGTGGAAAACTCGTGAATGAAAATTCGTTGCTCGAACTAATTGACGGATTTCGTATCTTTCCTATCTGGAATACAAAAGAAAAAATTGCATGATTCTTAATAAAAAGCAACGAGAGAGAGAGATAGAGAGAGAAAGAGAGAGAAAGAGAAAAAGAGAAATATATGATACATTGTATTCCCATGTTCCACGGATAAGTAATTTGAAAAAAAAAAATTAATCATTAAAATCTCTTTATAATTGATATATCCGATATGATAGATAACATATTTTAAAAAATAATGTGCGAGTCTAATAAAAATGATTCGCACGATTAAGAAAAAAAGAAAAAAGAAAAAATCTCTTTGTAATCTCGATTTACAAAATTAATAATCGAATAATTCATTCCAATACTCGATCGATTTGTCAACATTGAAAAATCGATCAAAGATCGAATAAAAATCCTCGAGATTTACAAAAGAAAAAAAAAAAATCGTTCCTCGATTCTTTGTACGAACGAAACCGCAAACTTTTGCTCGATCGATTATTTCCTTTTCTCTCCCTTCGATTCATCGAATATTTCGTACACAACCGTTCGCGTGTACAGCTGGAACCTTTTCCTTCCGTGCAAAACGTTTTGTCGAGATCTGTTCGAGTTTGCAGGCAATCAGAACATTTTGTTATGGTAATTTGGACGACGAAACCTCGACACCTCACACACACACACAGAGAGAGAAAGAGAAAGACGGCTCACAAAAGGATCAACGCCGCGGTTATTTGCATTTTTCGCGAGCCGTGCCCGTGAGAAGTTTCGTTCCTCCTTTATCCACGAATCGTCCGGCTCGATTCACACGTGCAATTCGCGGCCAACCGATCCTCTCTTCGATCTCTCCTCGAAATATCTTATTTCATTTCTGGACACACTTGGATTTTTTGTTCTTTTTTCTTTTTTTTTTTTTTTTTTTTTTTTTTTTT